TCAATGTGCTTGACCATTGTATGAAGTTATATTGAATTCCAACCATTAGTCTTCAAGTTATGGTCCGGACAAAAAAGGCAATGGAAAAGTAACAAAGGGCAATAACTCTGTAATTACTTTAGATAAAAATATGGTTCTTGTGCACTGCACTTCCCCTTATTGTGTTTGACAATTGTATGAAGTTGTTTTGAATTCCAACCAGTAGTTTTCAAGTTATGCCCCGGACAAGGAAAAGTAACAAAGGGCAATAACTCTGTAATTAGTCAAGACGGAGTTATGGTTTTTATGCACTGCACTTCCTCTCAATGTGCTTGACCATTGTATGTAGTTATATTGAATTCCAACCATTAGTCTTCAAGTTATGGTCCGGACAAAAAAAAAATCAATGGAAAAGTAACAAAGGGCAATAACTCTGTAATTACTTCAGATAGAGTTATGGTTCTTGTGCAGTGCACTTCCCCTTATTGTGTTTGACAATTGTATGAAGTTGTTTTGAATTCCAACCAGTAGTTTTCAAGTTATGCCCCGGACAAGGAAAAGTAACAAAGGGCAATAACTCTGTAATAAGTCAAGATAGAGTTATGGTTCTTGTGCACTGCACTTTCTCTCAATGTCCTTGACCATTGTATGTAGTTATATTGAATTCAAACTATTAGTCTTCAAGTTATGGTCCGGACAAAAAAAAGCAATGGAAAAGCAACAAAGGGCAATAACTCTGTAATTACTTTAGATAGAGTTATGGTTCTTGTGCACTGCACTTACCCTTATTGTGTTTGACAATTGTATGAAGTTGTTTGAATTCCAACCAGTAGTTTTCAAGTTATGCCCCGGACAAGGAAAAGTAACAAAGGGCAATACCTCTGTAATTAGTCAAGATAGAGTTATGGCTCTTGTGCACTGCACTTCCTCTCAATGTGTTTGACTATTGTATGTAGTTATATTGAATTCCAACCATTAGTCCTCAAGTTATGCTCCGGACAAGGAAAATGCAACGGACGTCTGGACCGACCGACTGAACGAACACCGGGTGACTCCTATATACCCCCCAAACTTCGTTTTTGGGGGTATAATGAAATCAGTTGTTAATTGCACACATGTAAATTATTAATTGAATCTTGATGATTTTTACTTTTCTAAATATTGTATGAAAGCTTGATTTTAATGAAAGATATTGACTCATTTAGAGGCAGGTAGCTTTAAATATCACTTCAGAGTAAGGGAAATGCTGATATATATTATTTTCAATATCATTTGTAAGAATATCATTTTTCATAATTGATTCTGATTCCAAAATATTCATGAAAAAATTGACATTTATACAAAGATTATTTTACACTAAAAATTTTAGCCTTGATATTAAATTCACTCACAGAAAAGATGGTTTAAATATGATGGCAAAATGGGCAAAGATAATCTAGATGTCCTTGAAATGAATCTAGATCCATCTTTACTGGTAACATTTTCATTTGTAATTAAAGGGACTCCACTGAGGATTTTTGACGTGAAGGGGGCCGAAAATATTTTTTCAAGATTTTTGTATACCGTAACTAGATGTGCCACTCCATTTTTCCAGAAGTTATCAATTTTATTGTGCAAATTGGCCCAAAAAATTGATCAAATCCGTTGCAACGCTTTTCACTCAAATCGGCCAAAAATGGCATAAAAAATTGATTATCAATTTAATACTGTATTTATATATCATCCTATTGCTTGGTTTCAAATTTAAGTGTACCAGTTGATTTTAGAAAGATTTTCATAATTTATAATTTTAGGCTATTGAACCTCAGTGGAGTTCCTTTAATGTTAAACATTATTTATATATGAGCCGCGTCATGACAAAAACCAACAAAATGAGTTTGCAACCAGCATGGATCCAGACCAGCCTGCGCATCCGCCCAGTCTGATCAGGATCCATACTGTTCGCTATCAGTTTCTCTACTGTTGGTAAGCGAACAGCATGGATCCTGATCAGACTGCGCACTGATGCGCTGTTCGCAAACACACTATGTTGGTTTTGTCGTGACGCGGCTCATATGGTTGATAGTTAACAAAGTACATTGTATATTGCTTATTTGAACCATTTAAAGTACAATTCCTGGAACTCACCAGTACTCACTGGGTGCCAAATTTTATTATCTTTCTGGATTTAACTCCGGCTTCAATTAAGGTAGTCATACTGTAATGCATACTTGCCCAAATTCTTAAACATCGGCCATTATATCGTAATAAATCAATCATTTAAGGAATGATATTTTTCACAATCTTCAGTATTCATTATTTTTTAACCGTTAATAATCAGAATTTAGTACAAAGTGATAAAGGATGGGCAATTGTTGATAACCTATCGCCAAAAATAAATTTCTGGAAATAATCCATTTGCTAAGATAATTGTTTTGGCGGCAGAGCATTACCTTAAGACAACCATAACATGTCTTGGTCACATCTTGGAGGTTGATCACCATAATGGGTTTTCCTGGATAACTAACCAGTTTCTCAACAAGTGACCCAGCTACTAATCTCAAATAAGCCTCGCCACGACAAAACCAACATAATGGGTTTGCGACCAGCATGGATCCAGACCAGCCCACGCATCTGTGCAGTCGGATCAGGACCCATGCTGTTCGCTATCAGTTTCTCTACTTGTTATAGGGTTTGTAAGCGAACAGCATGGATCCTGATCAGACTGCGTGGAGGTGCAGGCTGGTCTAGATCCATGCTGGTCGCAAACCTATAATGTTGGTTTTGTCGTGACACAGCTCAAATGATTTCTGTATCAGACAAATGACCAATCCAAACAATATCTGAGATCAATAGCCACAGTGAAATTATGCCATGTCAGAGGATGGAACCAGGGGCTCCTAATGTCAGAGGGGATTACAAAAATGATGCTCTCCCTAATGAGCTAGGCAAGCCGACGGACTTGGTGTCAACAGAATAAACATGGTCATGAACATTTGTGGGTCAAATTTATTTATATGCATTTTCAAATGAAATGATTTTGGTGTGTGTGTTGAAACACAACAAAATTTGTCAATATTGTTGGTATATTTTTTAAATTTTGCTTACATAAACTTGCCTTTTAAAAGAATCAGATAAATTTACAGCTAATCTTTGCTAACATATTACATCCATTTCAATAATCATGGTCAGATCTACAAATGAGCCGCATCATGACAAAACCAACGTAATACATTTGTGACCAGCATGGATCCAGACCAGCCTGCGCAGTCTGATCAGGATCCATGCTGTTCGCTTAAAAACCCTATTACAAGTAGAGAACCTGATAGCGAACAGCATGGATCCTGATCAGACTGCACGGATGCGCAGGCTGGTCTGGATCCATGCTGGTCGCAAACCTATTATGTTGGTTTTGTCATGACGTGGCTCATTTTATATCAGTTAACTTGTATTAAATGGATGCATACACTGAGTGACATGATGTAAATCACTTTAAAGAAAGTTTTAATATTGTTAAATAATCCAGCAGTTTCTGGGGGTTTTTTTGTTGTCTGTTCAATTTAAGCCCGTTAAAACCTCAATCACTCCACACGTAATGAACATGATGGACAAAATGTATAATATTTAATATGTAAAATAACAATTCAAATACAAGATTATTTTCTCCCCCTCTGCTTTTACCATGGCTTGGGACATGCTAGTAGTTAAAACTGCACACATCCGGGCAGTTTTGAATTCAGGATTTTTTTTTTTAAATTATACTTTTTTTCAAATCGAGTCAAAATTTGCTTTTTTATGGCAAATAAATAGTATTGATTTACTAATTTTACTCTAATATTTAATAAATATTATATACTGTTGCTAAATAAAAACTAAGACATAAAAGGATACATCTTTGTAAGTTTTCTAAAGAATATTAAATCTAAATATTTTACTAAATCCTTATGACAGATAATTAAATATTCCCCATAAAAACAATATGAGTCTGGGAGTGTGTGGTTTTAAAACTAGGCAGCATTGGGAGAAGTGTTGAGATTGTCAAAACCTTTGAAGCTCTGAAATGTTGAATGGATTTAAGTCAGTCACTGTACGTTGTAGGGTTGGTCACAGTACGTTGTAGGGTTCAATGTCTTTTCTAGAATTTCAAAAGTACGGGTGAATTTCCCCCCTCATTAAAAAATAGGTTTTTCAAAAACAAAGGGTGCCAGTAAAAAGAGTAATTGTGTAAAAAAATTCAATGTTGTTTATATCGAGCCAGAGCTAATCTTTTTATTTTCTTTAAAATAAAAAGATAGCTAGATTGGGTTTTTATTCATTAAAGAAACAAATCAGGGACGGCTCAACTAGAATATGTCTGCAGCTATTTTTATCATATTACACATTATTATTAATATAGAGTTATGAGTAAGAATTAGTGTTATGTGTTAGGGTTAGAGTTAGGATTATTATACATGAATTTTGCTGCAAACAGATTCTAAAAGTGCCGTTACAAACTTTATAGAAAAAGGAGTTGTCAACAAAAAATATTGATTTTATTTAGCAAACTCCACACAGTAATTACCTCCCTTGGCAGATTGTAAACACTATACTAACAAGGGGAGATCACTGTGAAGGAGTTTGTTTATTAAGTTCACAATTACCCCCTTTAGGCTTCCCACAAAATAATATCCTTTTTGAGAAAACTGATCAATTCAGATGCAGGATTTCACACGTTTCCAAAATGTGCGCAATCTTTAAAAAATAGTGTGAATCCGGCATTAACAAGTCCTAGAATAGACACTGAGGTTTAAGTCACAAGTACACATCTCCCACCATTCAACAGCCGCCAAAGAGCTTCAATAAATGCCAAATGTCTCTGTCTGACCAATAACCGGAAAAAGTTTTGGTCTAAGGTTGCATAGGCCTAGTACTGGTAGTTAAAGTAAATTAGTCAAAAAGCTTCCCCAATTAATAACTATTGGGAAAGCCATGACTGGTTCGTAAAGTCTTGTAAATTGGTCAATGTCATGATCAATGTCATTACAAAAGCTAGTAAGATCAAATATTTTGATGGAGAGGTTTGTCACAACTGGTATATGTCAATGACCATGGTCAGTACCTACATAATCTTGTCTGGAGGAAAACTTTGTACAGAAAAGAAAGTTTTGTAAAGATCGAGATAAAGTTAGATAAGAATAAAGTAGAAAATCTGTCATATCTGCACTTCCCCTTCATGGCAGAACTATGATGGGGACGTGCAAACAATCAACAATCATGGATGCCAGGAGACCTGAAATTGACTTTCTACAGAAAGTTGATCTGTCTAGAAAGCCAATTGTTTTCATATCTTTTTTCATCTACATTTTCTCAACCAAATTATCTTCTTTTTTATTCATTTGCTTTTCACACATGATGAACTATTTTCGCTTTTAAATTTCATTTTATTCAACTCTCCTAGTTTTTTTCCATTTCCTTGACTATTATTCAATTGTTTCCATTCCAATTTCCATGTATTCTCTCCCTTTCCAATTATTTTCATTCATTTTTCACTTTCACATCTCCATTTTTCAAAAATGTCTATTGCTGACCTCTTGTAGTTCCTTCATTTCTTTCATATTTCAACCAACACTTTCCATTTTTCACTGCACTGACTTTTCATGCCCTATTTCCATTCTCAAAACTTCACAATGTTTTCATTCTCATTTCTTTCCAGGCAATTCACTATATCCTTTTCTATTCATTTCACAATTTAACACTAACCGCAACATATAATTCATAATGGCATTTATTTATGTCCCTCCCGCCACAATAAATACAATATTACACCTTTTCAATATTTTACCTCTCTGTTCTGTACTTGCCTTGTCTTTCACACTGCTGAGCAACTATTAAACCACTGCAATTCTTACCGTCTTGTCTTGATAACTTGATGGAAAATATCATCTAGTACTCATCATTTAACAACTATTTTTTAAAAAGAGAAATGCAAGTTATTGTACATTATACATTCTTTACAACTAATATATTCAAATAAATTATTTTAACTGATAAATAATTTACAATTAATGAAATTTAACTGAATTCTTTACTTTTTAAAGTTTAAAGACATAACTATTAAAGGTCGGTGGTTCTACTCAGTCGAAATGAAACAACTTCTACTCGGAATAAATGTCAATACATTTGTATATCATTGAGACTTTCTTACAATATAATTGAATCATTGTCCTGTCAGATCAACACACACACACTACACCATTTTCCAATGAAACATCAGATCTTCTACAAGAAAAATACAGAAGAATTGGTTAAGAATCAGTACTATTTAATACAAGATCATGAATGATGACCAATTAGAGTATCAACAAAATGTATAAATGGCAATTATTAGACAAATTATCAAAATAGCTATCCGGTTAGCTCAATAGGCAGAACTGTGAATCTGGCAACCTAAGTTTGATTCCCTGACAGTGCAGGTCACTTTCATTGTGATTGATCATGAAATTCTTACTATGGTAATTAATTCACACTGTACCGCTGCCTTGGCATGTACAGAAGTTATCAGTTCCTTGTGTAAGTGAAGGCAATCAGTACTGGTAAACATGCATGACAGCCTGCCCAGTAACAATGCAGTGGCCAAATTGAGCTCTGGTTAATTCAATGTGGCTTATTGCCGTGATCTGGAGTGAATAAATTAGACCTGTCAAGACCTGTCCACAGGCAGCATGCTTCCCTTAAAAAAGAAAGTAGAAAGGGGGGCATAATTCAACAAAGTGCCTGGCAGAGTTACTTGTCCTTGATAGCAGTCAAGGATTTCAAGTTTAGCAAATGTGTGATGCTTTTTGTTTTTAAATATAAACTATTTTAAATTTAAAGGGAGACAATTAAGCAAAACTAGTCAGAGTTATCTGTCCATTAAAAATGCATACCAATTTAATACAGCATTTTTTAAGTGAATACTTACAATTATATGATAGCTTATTGGATATGAATCTTTACGAAAAAGCTGACCGAGAAATTTTGTCAAAAAAGAGCAATAAATTGGTAGCAAAAGACGGTAGCATGTTATTCTCTATATTTACAACATGAAAATCATATGCATTCTAATTTGCCATATGTTTAAATGCAACAAATAGAGCTGTCATGGATAGAGACGATATCGAAGTATTGTTGATATTTTTGTAGATCAATAATAACATTTGAAAAAAATCAATAATTGTGATTTATTGGAAAGGAAATGGAAATAACTAGAGGAGAATCAACTGTCCACAAATTATGAAAATTCACCCAAAATATATACAAAAGGAAGTGGCCATTATACACAGATTGACAGTTTCCGAACTAGCAGACGACAGGCTATTCTTATCAGTAGAATTGCGAGTAAAGATAACTGATTGCGTATCTCACTGTAAAAAACAGATGTAAAATAGTCTGACTTGTGGTAAAATGTTTATCAGAACTGTGCCTCATTTTCATTATTACTATCAAGTACTGAGAAAAGCTGAGCATGAGGCTCAGAGGTGAGTTCTTGTTCCTTAAAGGGACTCCTATGAAGTTTTTTGACATAACAGGACTAGATATAATTATTTTTGTGCGTCATTTCATGTAGGTCTAGACCAATAACTTTTGTTCAAACTTTAAGACCATTTTCAACCGGTGTAAAACTCCAATAACAAGAGCACCGCTAGGCAGAGCATTATATGCCCGAAAGTTTTTTTTTTTTCACGGGAATAAGCTGTTCATGCTATAAAATTTTACAGCTGTAGGTTGATTAATACTTAAGTTATTAATAATGACCTTAACCTTTGACCTTGTGACCCCAAAATCAATAGGGGTTTTCTACCTAATATGGACAATCATCCTAAGAAGTTTGAATATTAAGGGCCAAATGGAACTTTAGTTATGCTCCGGAAAATGTTTTCAATTTTAAGGTAAAAGTGACCTTGACCTTTGACCTTGTGACCCCAAAATCAATAGGGGTCTTCTACCCAATATGGACAATCATCCTATGAAGTTTGAACATTGTGGGTCAAATGGAACTCAAGTTATGCTTCGGAAACTGTTTTCAGTTTTAAGGTAATAGTGACCTTGACCTTTGACTTTTTGACCCCAAAATCTATAGGGGTCTTCTACCCAATATGAACAATCATCCTATGAAGTTTGAACATTGTGGGCCAAATGGAACTTAAGTTATGCTCCGGCAACCAAATTGCTAACGGACGGACGGACACCATATTTAGTGCTCGCCAATTTTTTGAAGCCAATCACCGACGAGGATTTTTCAAATTTTCAGGTTTCAAATCTTAATAGAACAGATTTTATATAAACTGGACATTTTATATTATAAAACGCAAGTGGGCGGAGCACTAAACCGGTTAGAGTGCATATTGGATGTTCTTCGTAAATAAGAAAGCTACAGTCGCTTCGCAAGCTCCGCTCCTTCGTTTTTAGCTTTCTTATTTACGAAGAACACCCAATATGCACTCTAACCTATACATAACAATGATATTTAACAACGGACGGGTATAACATAATATGCCCTTTCGGGCATATAAAAAGGGATAGGGACAACATGTTTATGCGGTTGTTATTTTTTTTCCCTCGATTTAAAAATGTTGTTTCCCTAAAAAAAGCTTTGTAAAGTATCACATTTTACTAATATTTTTCTTAATATTTTTTTACTTATGATGCTAAAATAACATCTCACATACACTAACACTACAGGTTCCATCTATATCAAGTGATAAAATTTATATTAGACTTATCAGCGTCAATGAATTTTGTAAACTGGATAATGACATCATCCCAAGTACGCCTCATTCATAAAGGTGCCCCAATGACATCATTTTAAACGTTTAAAGAATGACTTATCAAGCACTGATGTAAACACAAAACAATACAGCCTGACACACAAGTTTAAATTGTTGAAAATTTGATAAAATTATTCTTGAATAATAACGTGAAAAATTGTTTTCTAATCTTTCTTATTTTGTTTCATAACTTTTAAACCTTAGCAAGAGTAGGGTGTGAAAAAGAACAATGTTTTTCAAACAAGAGGGCCATGATGGCCCTGAAGTCGCTCACCTGTATATAGGCCCCCGTAACGGGGCCAGTTTAAACCCCAGGGCTTTTATTTGAACAAACTTGGTAGACACCCATTAGAAGATGTTTCATGCTAAACATCTAAGGTCTGGCTCCTTGGGTTTTTTAAAAGAAGATTTTTTCAAGTATTTTCTTTACACATATAGTTAAAAACAATGACACACCTGGGGCAGGGCCAGTTTTGACCCAAGGGCTTTTATTTGAACAATCTTTGTAGACACTTACTATAAATTGTCTCATGCTTAATATCTAAACTCTAGCTATTCGGGTTTTTTCAAAGATGATTTTTAAGTTTTTACTATACACATATAAGGAAAATCAATGTCCCCCGGGGCCCGCCAATTTTGACTCCAGGGCTTTTATTTGAACAAAATTGGTAGACATTCACTAGAAGATGTTTCATGCTTAGTATCTTAACTCTACCTATTTGGTTTTTTTTCAAAAAAGATTTTTAAGTTTTTGCTTTACACATATAAGGAAAATCAATGACCCCCTCCCTGAAAGGGGCCAATTTTGACCCCAGGGCTCTCATTTGAACAAACTTGGTAGAAATCCATTAGAACATGTTTCATACTAAATATCTTAGCTCTAGCTCTTTGGGTTCTTTAAAAGAAGATTTTTAAAGTTTTTACTATATGCATATAGGGAAAATCAATGACCCCCTGGGGCGGGGCCAATTTTGACCCCAGGGCTTTTATTTGAACAAACTTGGTAGACACCCATTAGAACATGTTTCATGCTAAATATCTTAGCTCTAGCTCTTTGGGTTCTTTAAAAGAAGATTTTATAAGTTTTTACTATATGCATATAGGAAAAATCAATGACCCCCTGGGGCGGGGCAAATTTTGACCCCAGGGCTTTTATTTGAACAAACTTGGTAGACACCCATTAGAACAAATTTCATGTAAAATATCTTAGCTCTAGCTCTGTGGGTTCTTTAAAAGAAGATTTTTTAAGTTTTTACTATATGCATATAGGGAAAATCAATGACCCCCTGGGGCGGGGCCAATTTTGACCCCAGGGCTTTTATTTGAACAAACTTGGTAGACAACCATTAGAACATGTTTCATGCTAAATATCTTAGCTCTAGCTCTTTGGGTTCTTTAAAAGAAGATTTTTTAAGTTTTTACTATATGCATATAGGGAAAATCAATGACCCCCTGGGGCAGGGCCAATTTTGACCCCAGGGCTTTTATTTGAACAAACTTGGTAGACACCCATTAGAACAAATTTCATGTAAAATATCTTAGCTCTAGCTCTTTGGGTTCTTTAAAAGAAGATTTTTTAAGTTTTTACTATATGCATATAGGGAAAATCAATGACCCCCTGGGGCGGGGCCAATTTTGACCCCAGGGCTTTTATTTGAACAAACTTGGTAGACAACCATTAGAACATGTTTCATGCTAAATATCTTAGCTCTAGCTCTTTGGGTTCTTTAAAAGAAGATTTTTTAAGTTTTTACTATATGCATATAGGGAAAATCAATGACCCCCTGGGGCAGGGCCAATTTTGACCCCAGGGCTTTTATTTGAACAAACTTGGTAGACACCCATTAGAACATGTTTCATGCTAAATATCTTAGCTCTAGCTCTTTGGGTTCTTTAAAAGAAGATTTTTTAAGTTTTTACTATATGCATATAGGGAAAATCAATGACCCCCTGGGGCGGGGCCATTTTTGACCCCAGGGCTTTTATTTGAACAAACTTGGTAGACACTCACTAGAAGATGTGTCATGCCAAATATCTAAGCTTTAGCGTTTTGGGTTTTTTAGAAGAAGATATTTAAAGTTTTTTTCTTTTGGTTGCCATGGCAACCAGAGTTCTGCATGGAATTAAATTCTTTGAACAATTTTCAAAGGTGACCACCAAAGGAACATTCCTGTGAAGTTTGGATGCAATGGGCTTAGTGGTTTATGAGGAGATGTCATTTAAAGTAAAAGTTTACGGACGCCGGACGAAAAGCGATCACAAAAGCACAAAAGCTAAAAATAGCAGCATAGTAATTTCTACTTGGTAAAATAGCATTCATGATTATGATGAGAGAAAATTTACCACTCAGGCCTACACCCTTTATGTCAATTACTATGCTTCAAAACTCTAAACTGGTGTTAAAGGGAAAAACAAGGTTATAATAAAAACTTGATTTCAGAAAACGAATACTATAAATAATAAATCTGCAAATTTTCTGCCGCCAAATAATAATATTAAACGAATGATAACGAAATTTAAATCGCTAAATCGCCGATTTCTACAAATCAGTAGGCACGGCCATGTTTGTGTATTGGCCGTATAAAAACAGGTGCGCGTGATGTCATTTCCCCACATCTTTAGATTTATGATAAATCTAGTTGAATCGTAGCGAAAAATTTACATAATAAAGTATTGACCAGACAATTTAATTTTCACAGGAGGTGTAGAGGCGATTTTTTTATTGTTCAAAATACGTAACAATATCAAAAAATAAAAAAATAAAAAAAACAAATAAAAAATCAACGTCTACCGGTCGCACCACTTCAGGCCAGTGATGCCCGTTACTCCAAACAATGCTATGTTCATTAAAGTCTCATCTTAATGTAATTAAACAATATTTCACAGAGTTAATAAATACACATGTTATTATTTAACAAAGTTTCACAATCAAATAATGTAATTAAATAAACAAACGCACCAACGAATAATTGGCTGTTAATTATTGAACGGCGATGATTATCATTATTATTTAAATCCTACTAAAACGTGTTCTTAATAGTACATGTAATTAAATTTTTGCAGCTTGATTCTGATTTTCAAATTAAAAGGTGTGAACATATGTTAGTAGTGATGCACACATTTCAAAAATATAAGCAACTCTTTTGAAAAGTAAATTGTTTACATGTCTGTCAACGTATGATGCTTCGTGGTATTTATTTACATCGTAATCGTAGCCTAATATTAACTGCATGCAAAACATTTTTATTGGCTGCTCAAAAATCTCATTTGCATAATTTATTCACACAATTGCTGGTTCTTATAATTCTACTTATGACTAATACTGTGCATTATCCATTTGAATTGTTCCTAATTTGCACCAAATGTTCCTGTCACACTGTGTACTGACGATTTTTATTGCTCCTTGTATGCCTCTGTGCCGACAGACCTTTTGATCATGCACAATGTTGCCCTGATTGGTTAATCACCCTTGTCAAATATTCTAATGACGAAATAGACATTTTTTTACGCTTCATCAGTGAACTGAATGACCTTAGGGGAAATTAAGCTCCGCACCTGTCAAGTTATACTGTAAATTACAGCATTTCATACAATAGCAACACATTTTTTCAGTTACAAATTATCATTTTGAATATTAAGTAGATTTATGTTTTTTGTTTTATTGGATTAAATTTACGGTAGTAGAAATGCGTATCTGTGTGGTAAGTAGATAACGTGGAAAAAAGCTATAGGGAACTGGATAAACCCGAGAATATGCGTAATTATAGGGGAATTATGCCCAATGGGCAACCTGTTGCTGTTGGTACCAGTTTTGACTGGGTGCCTAATTAACCGAACGGACAGTTTTGTTTTCATACGATATTAGTCTAGCTGCCGATTTTCCTGCGCAATTTTATTTTTAGCGTCAATGTCGGAAAATCGCGTCCTCGGGAAATATCTGCATATTTGATTTAGTTGATATTTACCGCTGAGAAAAAGATACATGACTGGCGATGTACCCTATTCAGACAGCTTGTCTAGCGAAAATTAAGTACCAAATAAAAGGATATATCGTCAATTTGAAGAAGTTTCTCAAAGTACCCAAATTAAATTGATGGTTTATCTTTGAAAACTAAGCAGTGATTGCTTAAATCATGTGGTGGGATCATCAGCAAGCTTGAAAATCGGACAAATGATAATTAATGCCGCGGCGTCTTCAATTAATTAATTAAAGCAATTCAGTTCCATATGATGTTTTCATAAATAATAAATAATGTGCGCAATAAGATTAATTAAGTTCTTCGTCAAGATATATTTCAGTTGTACCAGCGTGTACACCTTTACCGGAAGTGGGTATAACACGTCACAATCTCGGTCTCGTCTGTCTCGCGAGAATGACAGAACGCCAAAATGGCGGCGCCTATGAACTTATTTCTCAAGTAAAAAATAGTGTCTTAAAACACGAATTTCTCACTTAAAGGGTTGATGTCAACAAAACAACTGTCATGGTACCTCTTTTTTAATGATGAATATTTATATTAGACAGACATCAATCCATCCATTCCTATTCCTTTAAATAGTCAATAAACAATGCTGAAATGGATATTATTTCTTAAGTTGCCTTTAATAATTTATTATGTTCTCAACAAATCATTCTGTGTATGCATATTCAGTTTGATTAGGCCTAAAATAAAATATTATTCCCCCTCCCACAAAAATTAAAGCTACCCAAAAAATCGTACTGCCTAGCAAAATTTTTTCTTCTACTAAACATGAAAGCAGAGGGTGCCAACAAGTCTGTCACATCTTTATATTAGTCCCATGTTTTTAATAGTAAAGATAAAATTTGGATATATGTTGGATAAAACATGGTTCTAACCTTTTAACAGATGCTTAACATTCACATTTTGTTTTATTTATAACTTATACCATATAACTTTGAAAGGAAAAATTATTTGGATAAAAAAAATGTTATCAATCAACCTACCCTACCCAAACTGGCATGGGCCGCGGAGGGGATACAAAGATAATTTGAGCCGCGTCATGACAAAACCAACATAGTGCATTTGCTACCAGCATGGATCCAGACCAGCCTGCGCATCCGCACAGTCTGATCAGGATCCATGCTGTTCGCTATCAGTTTCTCTATTTGCTATAGGGTTTGTAAGCGAACAGCATGGATCCTGATCAGACTGCGCGGATGCTCATTTTAAGGTTTCCGATGGATACATGAATTAATAGCTTGGTACTTAAATCTTTTGGAACCTATACAGAAATTTCTCTTCATCCAAGTTATAAATAAATAAAGTAAAGGATTTCTTTTACAGTCTGACCCCAGTTATTCGACTACCCTTTATTCAATACCCAATATTATCCGAAGTAGATTAGCAGTCCTTTTTTATCTCTATATAATTAGTTATAAAGATTTTTGACAGGTTATATGGCCCTATATAAAAGGTTGTTTGGAAATATAACCCGAGCCGCTAGGTTGTTTGGCCATATAACCTGTCAGGAATATTTATAAGGAATAATAATACCTGCAAACTTCTTTTTTAGAGAAAAAAGTGAGATTTCTCAGCCGTGTATATAAACATCACGATTATCCAACAAAAATGGACGTTACAAAAGTGCAGTATTATATAAATCAATATAAATACAAACATATTATTCCAAATGCATTAACTGAATACCTCTTATTTTTTAAGTCAAATTTTGGTCTGATTTTACAATTATGAAATAAATTCACACCTATAATTCGAAGCCAGGCAAACTGACACTGATCCATCACTGACCTTCCCAACTTGTGAAAAATTTCTTACAACCGCATGCATGTATTTAGACAATCGTGATGATTACTCTTGTTTTTTAATTTCTTTATTACCGAAAATCACCTGCAAGCCAGTTATTTCTTATTTAATTATTGGACGGTTAAAAGCATTCAATTTACTAATTTTTATTGAAGAATGAAAGTAAACAATTGAAATAGAGAAATAAATAAACAAGCAAATACTACCATGTTTTTGTATATGAAAAATTTCTTTCTCTATTTCAAATCAGTGCATTATGTCCACTAACAAAAGATATTTTAATAGTGAATATGTATCTTATTTAAAACTTACACTGTGTTGTTACTGTAAATGCTTGAAGATGACAGTCATAATTTTCATGTAACTTCATGTTCTACATAATGGAGAATAAATTGCAAATAATTTCATGCCTCCAATATGCCAATAAAACTTTATTTTGTACACATCTTTTATTGTTCGTTTTTTTTTTGACTGACTAATGGAAACAAGTGTGTTGTAAACAGTACTTTTGCTATGATTTGCATATGACAAAAAAGTTGAATATTTGTCGTCGATCACTATTTTCGTATTTTGATTATTCAAACCCATCAATTATTAAAAGTAAATTTTCAATCCAAAGCAATTCGAAATATCAAGGTTGGACTGTATTTTATTATAAGCACTGTGTCCTGACTTGTTATCTATAATGAGACGTACCTGTGACATCCTTGAGTAGTTTTTTTATCGATACACTGTGTCCATCTCTCTCTACACTGGAGCAACTCCAAATCTGACAAATCTTCACCAATGTCACACAACCATCCACATTCCAACATAAATCCATCAACACAACTTCCGACATCAATCTAGAAATCTAGCCAACATGTTGCAAGGGTTTTCTGAAATATCTCTGGGGTTAACAGAACAACATTGCATTCTCAAAAAGTAACAGTATAACCTATACAATATTTCCATTAAACAGATACAATTCTATGTTTTGCCTTTTTTGAGACTTACTTGTGTCTTCAAAAGCAAATTTTACCTGACCATACAAAGTGTCCATCTCACTCCACACTGAAACAACTTCCAATCTAACAAATCTGCCAGCACAGAGGTGTAGAAAGCTATTCCATACCGTATCCTTCTTGCGAGTATCATAGTCGCTGGACCTCTCGAAGAATTGATAGTCTCGATCAACTTCCACCATGCATGTCAAGTTCTTCATTACTCTGTCACAGGTGTGCTTTAACCATCCATTTTCTGACATCTATCCATAATCACATTTGATGCCACTCAAGCCATTCAGACTCCATTGTCTATAGGTTTACTGAAAAGTCACTGGGTTAACAAAACAACATTCCAATCTCAAAATGTTAACATTGACCATATCTTAAACTCTGAACTAAAACGATAACAATTGTTTAGTTGGTTCTCAAGTCATATGGCGACTGGCCGTCCACCTTTATTGGTAGGAAATTATGCCCCAAATGTACATTGTTTCAGGCAAGGGCTGGTACCAGAGTAAAGCAACCAATATTCCAGTCTACCTAGTTATAGACTTTAAAGCTACAAAATACAATTCCAATGTACTGAATGTGTAACTGATTTATTACTTAGCTACTCAAAAATTGAACCCACCATATACATGTTGCACACCTGCTGTCCTGTGATTTACACAAACTCAAAATAGATGATTTACCCATGCTCCATCATGTCACTTTCCAGCACAATCAAACTTCACCAATGTCACACAACCATCCCCACCATCACAACTTCCGACATCAAGCAAGAAATCTAGCCAACATGTTGTAAATGTTTTCTGAAATGTCACTGGGGTTAACAGAACAACATTGCAATCTCTAAAAGTAACAGTATAACCTAAACAATATTTCCAATTCTACGTTTTACTTTGGTGACTGTCCAGCTTTAAAGGTAGAGGAAAATGTGCCTTAATGGCATTGTTTCGGACAAAGACAGACACCTAATAAGAGTAGAACCACCAACTTTCCAATACTTAGCTAGTTAAACAACTAGAAATGGAAATGCCTTTATTGAGACTTACTTGTGACTTCAAAAGCAACTTTTACCTGACCATACAAAGTGTCCATCTCACTCCACACTGAAACAACTTCCAATCTAACAAATCTGCCAGCACAGAGGTGTAGAAAGCTATTCCATACCGTATCCTTCTTGCGAGTATCATAGTCGCTGGACCTCTCGAAGAATTGATAGTCTCGATCAACTTCCACCATGCATGTCAAGTTCTTCATTACTCTGTCACAGGTGTGCTTTAAGCCATCCATTTTCTGACATCTATCCATAATCACATTTGATGCCACTCAAGCCATTCAGACTCCATTGTCTATAGGTTTACTGAAAAGTCACTGGGTTAACAAAACAACATTCCAATCTCAAAATGTAAACATATACCATATTTTAAACAAACTTTTAACTAAACCAATATGGATTGTTTTGTTGGTTCTTCAGTCATATGGCGACTGGCCACCTTAGTGGTAGAAAATGTCCCAAACGTACATTGTTTCAGGCAAGGGCTCAAACCAGAGTAAAGCAACCAACATTCTTGTCTATCTAGTTATAGATTTAAGCTACAAAATACAATTCCAATCTACTGAATGCATAACTGATTTATTACCTAGCTGAACAATTTTGGAACTCCAATATTTCATGTTTGCATTTCTTTAGCTGTCCTGTGATTTACACAAACTAAAATAGATAATTTCCATGATCCATCATGGCACTTTCCAGCCACAATCACACTTTACCAATGTCACAACAATCCACATTCCGACATAAATCACCCATCACAACTTCCGACATCAATCTAGCAATCCAGCCAACATATTGCAAGGGTTTTCTGAAATGTCACTGGGGTTAATAGAACAACATTGCAATCTTAAAAAGTAATAGTAAAACCTTAACAATTTATTTTATTTTGGTGACTTTTTAACTAAACAGATATCTTAATGTTTGTTTTTAAGTCAGTAAGAGACTAAAGTTTTATTATAAGGTAGATATGAATATATGTAAATTACGTGAAAATTAAATACATAGAGGGGCATATTCTCACAAAACAGAATCAATGACCTTCCAATATAGCTAGCTATAGCAGGGATTTTTTTGGGGTTTATTTTATAGCCGTTATTGGGTCATATTCCCAATTGAAAATAGTATATTTTCCCAATCCACAGGAAAAAATTCCAAATTGAAAGTTAATAATAAAAATATTGAATAAAAATTCTAAAATCTTTGCAAATAAGGGAAGGCGGGCCAGATTTGTTGATTCTAGAAGCCACTTAGTGTCCAAAATAATTCTTTATCAACCAATCTGTTTAAGAATTGAGCAAGAACTAACCAGGTTTTCAATTATCACCATTGTAGATAAATATGTTGTATTTGAAATACAAATACAAGCAACAAACAATGTAGCTATGTGCAATGTAAAACATGAATAATGTAGGAGGAATTGCGCACAGAAGAAGTGTTCACTATATATATTCTGTATAAGGAAAAAAAACAAAGGGCCATAATTAGGTAAAAAATTATCCAATCACAAAACCCTGACAATATGTGCTAGGGCACTTGATGACAAAGCTTCTGTGAAAGTTTGAACAAAATCCGTTGAGAAATGTAGGAAGAGTTCAGCACAGAAGAATTTGTTCAATTCTGTATAAGAAAAAAAAACAAAGGGCCATAATAAGGTCAAATATTATCCAATCACAAAACCCTGACAATATGCGCCAGGGCACTTGATGACAAAGCTTCTGTGAAAGTTTGGTCAAAATCCGTTGAGAAATGTAGGAGAAGTTGCGCACTGTAGAAATTGTTCACTATATATTCTTTATAAGGAAAAAAAACAAAGGGCCATAATTAGGTCAAATATTATCTAATCGCAAAACCCCGACAATATGCGCCAGGGCACTTGATGACAAAGCTTCTGTGAAAGTTTGGTCAAAATCCGTTGAGAAATGTAGGAGGAGTTGCGCACAGAAGAAATTGTTCACTATATATTCTATATAATGAAAAAAAACAAAGGGCCATAATTAGGTCAAATATATACCAATTGCAAAACCCTGACAATATGTGTCAGGGCATTTGATGAAAAAGCTTCTGAGAAAGTTTGGTCAAAATCCGTTGAGAAATGTAGGAGGAGTTGCGCACAGAAGAAATTGTTCACTATATATTCTATATAAGGAAAAAAAACAAAGGGCCATAATTAGGTCAAATATTATCTAATCGCAAAACCCCGACAATATGCGCCAGGGCACTTGATGACAAAGCTTCTGTGAAAGTTTGGTCAAAATCCGTTGAGAAATGTAGGAGGAGTTGCGCACAGAAGAAATTGTTTACGCCCGCCCGCCCGTCCGCCCGCCCGCCGACATACCTCAATCTAATAACCAGTTTTTTCCTTCGGAAAACCTGGTTAATAAAGCTCTCCATTAAGAGAAAATCAAAATGGTGATGGAAGCTCTAGTAATTAACAAGCACACGTACATAATACATTGACAGCCATAAATTTTATTAAAGCATTATGCAAACGAAGGGTATATTTACCTGTTTTTATTGCTGCATTTTTGTTATTCTAAGCAAGGTGTCCAGCAAAATTTCTTCAGATGCTGCCATCTTTGTACCATGTGACTGCTCTTCCACCTGACTGAGAATTGATTCCGAGAATCAGAATTGTTAAATCGAACCAGTCATAAATGCTACTGAGGAATCATTCAAAAACTAGAATTAGCCAAACTGCACCTGTTTGTTTAACAAGCTGGAAATAATTATCTAATGAATAAATTAATAATCACTTAAAACTTGGTTATTTTCTTTAAGAAAAGTTCATTGAAATAACGTAAAATATAGTAAACATAACTATTATCCCTGAAATTGTGCAAAAATTAACACATTATACAAATTTTACCATATTGCCCCATCATGCCCACTTTCCAACACATACACTTTGCCAATGTCACAACCCATCCACAGTTGACGTAAATCCAACATCAAAATTTCGACAGCAATCCAGCAACATTCTGACATCTATCCATTATCACATTTGATGCAACTCCATGGTCTGCAAGATCCCATCCATCATCACATTTGATGCAACTCCATGGTCTGCAAGATCCCATCCATCATCACATTTGATGCAACTCCATGGTCTGCAAGATAACATCCATCATCACATTTGATGCAACTCCATGATTCTGCAACATAACATCCATCATCACATTTGATGCAACTCCATAGTCTGCAAGATAACATCCATCATCACATTTGATGCAACTCCATTGTCTGCAAGATCCATCCATCATCACATTTGATGCAACTCCATGGTCTGAAAGATCATATCCATCATCACATTTAATGCAACTCCATGGTCTGCAAGATCCCATCCATCATCACATTTGATGCAACTCCATGGTCTGCAAGATAACATCCATCATCATATTTGGTGCAACTCCATGGTCTGCAAGATCACATCCATCATCACATTTGATGCAACTCCATGGTCTGCAAGATCACATCCATCATCACATTTGATGCAACTCCATGGTCTGCAAGATCACATCCATCATCACATTTGATGCAACTCCATGGTCTGCAAGATCACATCCATCATCACATTTGATGCAACTCCATGGTCTGCAAGATCACATCCATCATCACATTTGATGCAACTCCATGGTCTGCAAGATCACATCCATCATCACATTTGATGCAACTCCATGGTCTGCAAGATCACATCCATCATCACATTTGAGGCAACTCCATAGTCTGAAAGATCATAGGGGTAACAAAACAACATTCCAATCTCATAATTTTAACATCTACAATATCTTTACCAATTACTTTCCTACTAAACAGGGAACTATTTGTTATATAATGGTTTTAAGTTATGTGGCAGATGAAAATAAGTACCATTAAAGTGCCAGGAGGAGCAATTTGACATTATGAATAGAACCACTGACCTCCAGTCAAGATAGCTATAGACAATCAACTGTAATTCTCAACTGAATTAAATAATCTTCTTCAACTCGGTTCTTTTCTTAACGAAAAATCCATTGAAATCAAATAAAATAATAGTAAAATACTCAATAATACCTTAAATTTTTCACAAATTTACACACAACACGAAATACCAAATTGTTTACAAAAAAGAGTTTTTATGACAAAATCCTTAAAATCAAGTAAAATATTAAAATACCGGCAAATGCTCCATCATGCCACATTCCAACATGTATATACACTTTGCCAATATTACACAGCCATCCTTCCTTGTGTGTCCACCACAATTATGATGCAGGATCAGGACCCTCCAACCTCTTCTATTCAAAGGGGTCTCCAGACACAAAATATTGGAATATATTATTATAATTCTATTATACAATTAGAAGAACCTGGCAACTTCCAAGTACTGTAGATCTACAAGTACAAAAATATAGGTATTAAAACACATTGATCAGTTTCATAATATGTACAAGACTTCTAAACTAAACTAGACTTCTAAACTAAACTAACTGTAATAAACATAGCATTAAAAGGAGTGGCTTATAACAGGTCTAAAGAGAGCGGGGAATGGGTGAATGAATGAATACACATTATTATAGCTATTTCATAGGTGGGTAAGATAAAAGAGAAATATTCATATAAAATACACCAACATCAAATCAAATACAGCACTATGGTTATGATTATAATAATGAAGAGAAATGACAATCAAAATTCGGCACGAGCTTAAATCACGAGTATATCTAAAAACGCGCGCGATTACACAGACTGACCAGACTCGCATCTAAAAACATTGACCAGCATGAACGCATTCCTATCAACTAAACTAACATAATTTTATACATAAAAGAAATCTATAAACATTTTGACATTTTATATAGGAAGGGACAAAAGGGACAAAGGAGAGCACATTAGGGTTATATAGGTGGGTGTGATAATTTTAATTGAGTTATTAAATAGGTATTATGCAATTTCAGTACATTTAAAATCGCCAGTAAACGCAGCGCGAAGCCAGGCAGAATCGCATTTTAAAACAATTGGAAACAAACAGCCCAATTTCTAATTTCATAACATATCAACTAAAATAACACTAATACTATAAACATTTTGGCAGGAAATGCCATGAAAAACAACAATTCAGTACCACTTTACATATAACTAAATTACTTTACCACTATCACTAACAGACTGACAACGCAAAAATTACATTTGGACTATCATAAACCCATTTCAATTTTTATAACACATCAACATACTGTGTATATGCACAAATTACACAAAAATACATTTGTTAATAAAGAGAGGTAGGAAATATATGTACATGTGTATGCACCAAATTCGTACATGTATTATACATGCAGTTATATACATCAGCACGCGGGAGATAAACAGTTTGTAAATATAAACGAAAACCGCCGATGTATAACATGTCGCGTGGCTGGCCAGCTTGATCTCAACCCCTTTTTCAAAACTAAAGTAGCATATGTATCACCACGGATTTACATTACAATAAATCCGTGGTATTTCTAACAGCTAAAAATAGCACATCTTTTCTAATAGACAATTACCACGTGCAAATGTACGTACGTGGCTTTAAAAATAAACTGGCACATAACACAGGCTAAATAAAGAATTTAATCGACACAATTCGTAAAAATCAACACACTTACTTTCCTATCAGGGAACACCAATCCTTCCATCTCTTCGGTACGACTTTCCCTCCAAAAATAATGTTGGCTGCACAGGCAATCGGTGCGTGGCTTGGATAGTATACATGTACATGACCACGCCCACTTATTTTTTATAAATTTTTTTTTTCAGTAATAAAATATTTTTTCATTCAAAATGTTTTTAAAATATCTTATCTTCAATAAATCAACAAAGGAAATTTGTTTTTAAAAAATTCATCCATATATACTATAAATATATTATAAATATATACAAGAAAAGCATTGATGCAAAGCATCACAGGGCGTCCAAGCAAGAAATGCAGCAAGTGAAGATGAACTAGTACACATATGATGACAAGATATTCTTATGAACTACCAGAAATGTATATCACTTATGAATGAGCGGACGAAAGACATTGTTCATTATGAACTTTGATTGGCATGCTAGAGATTAGAATATTACTTGTTATTTCTTTATGATCGTGGTTATTAATAGCAACGGATATACATGTATGCAATCATTTATAATCCATATGTGTAACGCATGATCAACACGTACCACTATGGTGGCTGATTTGTGCCATATGTGTTTTCGTCCCGCCACCCCGCCAAGCGAAAAGTCGAGAATTTACAAGTTAAAATGGCGGGGTCGCGGAGCGAAAACACGCTTATTAGCGGGGGCGCGCAGCGAAGTTTAATAAATAAAACTTCGCCCCGCGAGGGCGCGGAGCGAGAATTAAGAAATAAAACGGCGGGGGCGCGGGGCGAAATTTAATAAAATAAAACTTCGCCCCGCGCCCCCGCTAATTAACGTGTTTTCGTCCCGCGACCCCGCCAAGCGAAAAGTCGAGAATTTACAAGTTCAAATGGCGGGGTCGCGGAACGAAAACACGCTAATTAGCGGGGGCGCGCGGCGATTTTAATTAATAAAACTTTGCCTCGCGAGGGCGCGGAGCGAGAATTAAGAAATAAAACGGCGGGGGCGCGGGGCGAAGTTTAATGGAAAAAAACTTCGCCCCGCGCCCCCGCTAATTAGCGTGTTTTCGTCCCGCGACCCCGCCAAGCGAAAAATCGAGAATTAACAAATTAAAATGGCGGGGGCGCGGAGCGAAAACACGAATGGCACAAATCAGCCACCATATACCACACCTTTGTAATTGTCCCTTATTATGTTATCGCTATTAGCGAAGACCCCCTCTTAAGGTATCTGCAGTTCACACTTTAAGTTAGTAAAAATATGACACTGGTTATATTACCATGTTGATCATGTTGAGCATAATTGTTTATTATACAATAATTGTAATATCTATTAATTTTAATAAAAAAAATACAAATTTTATGAATATTGTTTTCTTTTCTTTTTTGTGTTTTATGTGCTATTTTAATACTGAGTTTTTACTACTTTTTTTTATTAAAATTGTGAAATAAATTTTAAGAATTCAATTGTCATATTGACCGACGATTATAAGTCAAAGCTTAACTGGAAAAAGTCAGTAAATTATGGTTTATCTTTTTATATATAATATTGTTTATTTTTAAACCATGTACATGTACATTTGTATTTTTCTTTATCATTTTTTAAATTATCAATCAATTGAATAATTCATAAAATCTAATTTGTAACTTTGAATAATTCCTCGGCATCTTTACTAAACACGGATAACAATACAAATTAAATAAAATGTTTCAAAGTTGATAATGTCATTTTAATACCATAAAAATGTACCTTTTTCTCAATTATTGTATATATCACGGATTTATATTACATATAAATCCGTGTACATATTTATTGTTTTTATCTCATATAGATAAAATGAAACATGCTATTGTTTTTTTTTTTCTAATTGTAACGATATCAAACATCTACTCCAAAACCGGGAGAGACCGGACAATAAACGTGTGGTACTATTCGCCGGTCACTAGTAAATCCCGGTCAAAATAGACCGGGAGAGACCGGTAATTACCGATAGGAGTGATAAATAGATATATCTATAAATATATTTTTGGAATATTTAGGTCATCAACTGATCTTTCTAGGATACATGTACAACAATAACATACCATGATAACCCACTGTGTACTACAAAATGATAAATAAAAAAACCCGAAGAGCGCGATTTATTGACGGAAAAGGTTATTTCATTTGAAAATGTTTGCATTGCGAAATTCTCCAGTTCGCTATTCATTGTAACATATCGCGACATTTCATTCTTAATTAATAATCAAGCACCCTCATACCGATCGGAATGATCGGCTTTTATTATGACCGACTAAAAGGCTCGAGAAGTTGCTGTCGCCCTTTCACAAAATCTGATTTCATTCCATAAGGGCCCCGCGCTTCGGCGCGGACGCCAATGATATAACTGAAATGGTCACATGATCTTAAATGTGTGAAGTGGAAAAATTTCCGGCACTCCCCGCCGTACTTCGGGAAAAAATTCGATTCTCTGACCTTTTCATTATTGAACAAGGGGGTGTCGAATGCATAGAGGTACGATAAAATTGTTGTTGATACGGGATAAGAGTCGATTTGCTTCATATATTTGTTGCATGTTGTACATTTTGTTCGAATAATAAAGTGCACGAGGAGCAGGCCATTTACTTGTGTATGAGAAAGAGTTCTTTCTCTTTTCTATCATAGGCAAGAATAAAAACACGTTCTTTGTTGTCACAATATGAAACCCCAGAGAAATGATATTTCTATCGCTATCCCATTCTTTGTCGTTCCCAATAAATGGGCATCTGGAGCGCAGGTAACTAATACCCACGGGGTAGAATCACGCCGTTCGTTACCCAAACAAACAAGATGGCGGATGCGGTCGAAAAGTAGGGTTTTCCCTTTTTTCTCTGACATTTGTGGTGTTTTAGTGTAAAAGTACATATAATAACCTTCTCCACAATTTTCCGGGCACACAGGATTTTATTTCAAGATTTTTTGTCACTTACTTCATCTGAAATGCGCGTCACCAGAATTTTCCACCGGTTTGATGGTGGTAACTTACGGCTTCTTCTCTAAAATGCCCTGTTTCTTTTACATACATGTATTTTAATTGAAACCACTGACTTTAAAAAGTTTTAATATGTCGTCATCTAAGCATTTATGCACATTCTGACTAGAATAACCGCTGTAATATTAATACATGGGCATTTTCCGGAAATGATAACGTATGGCGCACAAAATATCAGTGATAACGTACGGCGCATTTTTCTACTTGGTGGATTTCCATTTGTCCGGTCAGCTAATATTGAATTAATTGTATGCTGGAAATGATAGATATCTGAAAAAATGTTTGTCAGTTCAGAAATACACAATTGGGTATAAATATCTTTCGAGCTGGTGGCGTAATAGATATTCGTTGTTAATAAACTAACCTTTATATCTACCAATTAAAAAAAAACAAACATGTACAGCTTGAAAATATGTTTGTATAAAATGCAGAATGGAAAGAAAAGCCTCCACTTTCAGGAAACATTGTGTATTGTTGTTTTCAATTTAATCTTCGCAATTATGGTCATATCCCTTTATCAGAATGAAGAAACGCATTCAGCAGAGCAGAAATGTTAAAAAGGTACAGACGACTAGACATATTTTTAGACATAGGCCTACATTCAAATGAGATGACCCTGTGTTTATTTAATATGGTAGCTCATTGAAAGAAAAATACATAACACAGAATAATGAATAAGTGTATGTTCTATATTGAATTCATTGAATGAGTTAGAAAATGATGTTATGCGAAAAAGCTTAATAAATTTAGTAAATAAGAAATTTCCTGTTTATTTGACGGGCGGTTAATATTAAACGCTATCATTTAGCGTGACGTTGCGCCACTATGACGTCAGATATATTTGCACAACAAAGCCATACAGTTTTTTTTGTTGTAATTATAAACGAAAGGAGCGTCATAATTTGATCTAAACAATTACATGCAATTCATGAACTTTCCAATCGTATTCTGGCGTTTTTTTATTCTGGCGTTTTTTTTTTTTACAAAAAAACGCCACAACAAAAGCAATCAATTTCTTATAAAAAACTTTATTTGTCATCCAATTAAAACGCTGTATTTCTGTGCGTTAATTTTCATAGAAGAACAAAAGTGTCCAGCTCTATTTGTAATCCAATGAAAACGCTGTATTTCTTAAAAATACTTTGTGTTAATTTTCATAGAAGAACAAAATTCGATACTATATCAAAGTCCGTTCACAGTAGCCTTCTATTTTTCATATTACTTCATAGAACCGTGTTCGTAAAAATAGTTATAGTGACGTAATAAAGTGAATATTAATGATGTCAAAATGTTTGACACTAAGTATGTTAGTATTCATCCATAGCTGTTCTACAGAAATTAGAAACATTCTCCTATGTAAAGTTATCATAAATTTCTAGAATACATTATGTTTATGTAAAGTTATCATAAATATCTAGAAAACATTATATATATGTAAAGTTTTCATAAATATCTAGAAAACATTATATTTATGTAAAGTTATCATAAATTTCTAGAATACATAATATTTATGTAAAGTTATCATAAATATCTAGAATATCTAGCATTTATGTAAAGTAATCACATATTATATTTATATAGAGTTATCATGCATATCTAGAATATCTTATATTTATGTAAAGTTATCATTCATATCTGGAATACCTTATTTTTATGTAAAGTTATCATACTTTTCTAGAAAACATTATATATATGTAAAGTTATCATTAATATCTAGAATACATTATATTTATGTAAAGTTATCATAAATTTCTAGAATACCTTATATCTATGTAAAGTTAATCATAAATATCTAGAATACCTAGCATTTATATAAAATTATCACATATTATATTTATATAGAATTATCATGCATATCTAGAATATCTTATATTTATGTAAAGTTATCATATATGTCTAGAATACCTTATATGTCAAGTTATCATAAATATCTAGAATATCTTACATTTATATTCAGGTATTGGGACAGACGAGGTGATCATTGTACAGTCAGGCGCGTAGCTAGCCTATAAAGAATGTGGATTCAAAATAATCTAGGGGGTCAGGGGGCATGCCCCCCCCCCCCTTAAAATTTTGAAATAAATGGTGCAATATGGTGCGTTTTGGGGCCTCCGGAGAGCTTTCTTGACCAACGAAAATCCATTTATTTTAGCATAAAAATGGAGATGAATAGCTATACTTTTGTTTATTTCAACTAGTCTACATTTCACAGCAAGTCTAACTTGCGGCCTTTGCTGGCCGCAAACTCGTTAATGATAATATCAATATCTATTTCCATGTGTCTGTAGGCGTGCAACAGGGGTGCAAACTTCCGACTTTGAAGAGCTGCAAAGGCCGACAACTTTTCAAAAAAAATACTACGGTATGGTGTACGATTTAGGCTATATGATTTATAAAGTATTCAGTGTGGTAATTATCAGATCTGGCGAACGCGGCTGAATTTCAAACCACATTTTTTTTACTAAAAAATTTTTTTTTTTGTCAAAATAATGTGGATTCAGCTGCGTACTCGCGTATAGGCAGCTACGCGCCTGACAGTTATTGTTTAGGGCTGTTGATGAGGCGAAGAAAGCGTACTCTGGTCAGAATATAACAAACGTGATGTCAGAGAAACTTCTTGATATAGCAAGAACAGTTGGGTAACCACGGAAACTGAAGGTATGGCGTCATCCGCCAGCTACTAACTGGTTCTATAAGCTCTCTGGTTTAAGATTATCAAAACATTGTCACATTATCACATGTTTATACGACATGTTTCCTGCT